ACTGTATCTGTACTGAGGATCTGGAAGAAAGTCTGAACCCTTAGGTTGGCTTAAAAGTATACAAGTATTTTATTACACATTTCTTGAAAAAGTCACGTTAAGAATACATTTCTGTGGTGGAAATTGAACAAAAGAAGGTTGGAAATTAGTTTTAATCTTATCAAAAGTATATATGCAATTGGAATGGAATTTCAGCAAACCTGAGTTACAATGCCTCAAAGAAAATGAGTTATGAACTGTATAAAAAGTGAAACACTGTGCCTTGCTGATTGTACTTTGTGCTAGCTCATTGATTTACATGGATAATTATAAGTATACAACAAAAGGCACTGCTTGATTGTGGCATTCGCTTTTGAATTTGAACTGAGCAGAGTGACCGAGACCATATATACACAACGCATTGCTCATTTCCCACCTGGAACCTGTGAAGCTTAGTTGAACTTTGAATGTGGCTTATAAGAGAGAGCTTTTACTCGGTCCCGAATGGAAAATATTTTTAGGACAATTGTAAGTTGATTTTAAAAGGTGTGGATTAGCCATTCACAGATATCATCATTCAAAGGCATAAAAAAGATATGAAAATGAAATAACAGGAGTGATTCTGAAGGTGCTCTGATACATAGAAGTCACAAACAACCTGGCAGTGTCAGTGTGGTAGTAGTACTTGTCAGAAGCTATTCCTCCCAGGCAGTTTACCTGTAGTGGTATTATATACCAGGGCCTGTTCTGTTTACACCAGAATACACGTGTGATCACTAACTTATACTCACAGAGTCATGATTATTACTGAAAACTCCAGAAAAATGTCCTTTTTGTGAACTTGGAAGAACTTTTGAAGAGCATTTTACGACCACAGCCTTGGAAATCTAACCATTTTTTTCTATTTTGGAACAAGTGTTTATTGTGGATCATCTGTATCACAAGTGTATTTACATCTCAATGGGATGTCGTCATTTACATACTCGTTAATGACAACTGTTTGTGTGGTTATTACAAACCAACTTTTTCTCACTTGAACTGCGTGTGGGACGGAGATGGAGCCAATTTTTTCATTTCATGCACTGAAATGTGACCGTGGAATCGTGTTGATTGCAGATCAAGGTGTATAATGTTTTATCTACAAATGACGTAGTGATATGGTTATAGAAAACAGATTTTATGCTGATGAAAACACAACATTTGTTGCTGTGGAAACGAGACATGAAAATCTCTATTGCATTATATATAACACATATATATAAGCTTTGAAATGCATTTTTGTTATCAAAGTTTGGTTAAGGTTGCGCCAACAACTGACTGAAGGTGTACAAGGAGGAATATGACACAAGATTATTGATGTGGTACCAATATATATATCTGCTTTAAATTTCTTGATCTGATGTTAAAATAGTGGCAATATTGAAGCTATGGAAATAACAGACATTTTTGTGGCCCTTGGAACACTTGTACATTGGATTTTCACATTATTAGGATACATTTTGCAAGGTGTTTACTGTAAGTATAACTAAAAATAAACAGTAACATGTTTGTGTATAGGTACTAATTACTTCAGTATGTGGTGCTATCACCCCTATTATCCACAATGAACTCTGCAGGTCATTGAACAGATCAGGCACTAATGGGATTACCTTATGTAACTCTGGGGTGAGAAGGTTAAACCTGTTGGGCTATTATTATGACCATTTGGTATTGGACAGCTTAACCCTCTTATAATTTTCAGGATTACTTTTATACTGTGTTAAGTACTAGCTGTGTCATGTCACGTATAAAGCCATTTTTGTTTTGAACAAGTGAACTTTTTAAAAAATTATTTTACAATGTACTTCAAGCAAGTAGAAGCAGTACTATTATAATTGAATTTTAATCTAATATAAAAAAAAATCTTGGAAATCACCTAAATATAAATATTTTTCATTCTTTGAAGGTCAAGGTCATGTATGGTATAACTTTTTGTTCAGAAAGACATAGAAGAAAATCACATTTGAGATGAAAGTCTACTGATCAAGAGATCTTTTCCTTCAAAGATGGTGGTCAGATAACTTTATTGTACAATCTTTTTGGTTTCTATGTTTAGGTAACCTTGCTGTTTTACCTTCATGCTAACTATAGAAGTCATATATTGTTGTGTAACTTTGATGGTTTCTAGGGATCAGAAAGCCTAGTTGTATGACCACTGGTTTCTAGGGGTCAGAAAGCCTGGCTGTTTGACCTTATGATAACTTGGGATCAGAGAGCTTAGTTGTGTAACCTTGATGGTTTCTAGAGGTCAGAAAGCCTGGCTGTTTGACCTTATGATAACTTGGGATCAGAGAGCTTAGTTGTGTAACCTTGATGGTTTCTAGGGGTCAGAAAGCCTAGTCGTATGACCACAATGGTTTCTAGAGGTCAGAAAGCCTGGCTGTTTGACCTTATGATAACTTGGGATCAGAGAGCTTAGTTGTGTGACCTATATTTTAACTAGAGGTCAGATAGTCTTGTTGCATGTCTTTTTGGTTTGTCAAGGTAACTAACTTATCGTCATCACTTATCTTCATAAAGACAGACAGTCCTTATTGCACGAAGGTCTCCCTCTCAATAATGTCTAATTAAAGGTTATCATGTGATGAGATGTAATGGAGAAGTGGAGCTAGACACAGATGATCACATGGTCATTAAACTACTGGTTCAGAGAAATAGCAAATAGTCACCATCACTTTTGTGATACGTAGGTACCACAACAATACTTAAGAGTACAGTAAGTAGTGAAGGCGACACATCGCCACAGACAGACACAGACTGGTACGTTCAACTTGTAATCCATCTAGAGGGAAAAACCTATTTTACTTGGGGATTACTTCCACTAAATCCTATGACCGCATTGAGTATTTGTACTCTCAGAAGTATTGTCTGAAATTTTATTTTGTCAATTTATTAGAGGTGAAAAGTGTATCAAAATAACATAGACATTTAACTGTGACAGTGATGTAATTACCGTATTTAATCTAAACAGCTTTTTAGGGCCAATTATGATAATGTGATACTGATGTAGTAATAGAACATTCATTTTCTGTATTGTTTGGGAATTAAATTGTTTATAAGAATATACAACTTTAACTAGAAAAGAGTTTTGTGGTATGAAATTTAAAATTTAACAAAATGTCGGGTGTATTCGGAAATACATAACATTTACTATTATATTTCAGTACATGGTAATTTTATGACGATTATGAAATATGGAATAGCAAAAAAAATTTTAAATTATATGTCTGATCATAATGTGCCACATTCTTACACGTCCTAGCAATGTATTGTAAAAGTTATCATTAGAGAGCATTCAAGGCCTTTAGGACATCTTTCGTCAATGCTTTTCATGCTTGCTTAAAGTAAAAATATCAGTGTGCCTTTGATCTAGGACATCTTTTGACAGAAATGTGATAGATTTTCTGGTTGTGAATTGAGTGAAACATTTACATAGGTAAGTTTTAACATTAGGCAATATTTTACAATTAATTGTAGTAACAAGTCTAGCAGGTGATTCAATAATCACCTAAAAAATGTCAGTGAATTAAACTTAAATTTTATTGTGAATACAGAAATATAATTAAGTTGAAATCATTTTCTTTGATATTGACCCATGAGAGATATATTTTGCTACTCAGTTGAACATGAAAGAAAATGAATGTCAGCAAACATTTTCGTATGAAAATTATTTTTCTCTCTGTATAAAAGTTTCATGTGCAATTTTGATGAAAGCTAAATTCTCCCTTGATATGTTAAAATTCTTTTTGCACAAGAGTTTTCTCCCTTGACAAATTGATTCAAATTAATTAAACCTTGGTTTCAATAATATAATCATACCTGGAATACTGGCCCTATCCCCTTTCCTCTCCATGTTTACTTCTTTATAAAATCTGTTTGAGTTATCCCCCTTTCAGTGCACTCTTACAATCCTGAATTACCAGAATTTTTTTCATTGCTGCCATTCTTCTGCATTTATCAGCTGTTGTTGATTAACTAGTTAGTTACCTTAATCTACATTCATCTAAAAAATTATGCAAATAATTGTAGACTTGTAGACCTCTTTTTTGTGAGGAAAATGTATGATAGCATACATCCTTAATACAGACTTAATGTGCTCTACCTGTAGGCCTAGATTCTGGTATTTTTGTATACAAATATTAATGACAGGTCACGGTATGATGACATGATAAAAAAAAATTGGGAGGCTCTTACATTTTAGTACTTTATTATTACACGGTGGACTTGGATGTTACAGTAGTGTTGGCTACCTCATGAGTCACACCTGTATTTACACCTGTAATTAACATACCTGTACATCATAATAAAACACTACTCTCAACACACAAAATGAAATTATTCATCGGAATTTCCGAAATTTTTTGGAACCAATCCAACTAAATATTAAACATATGATACTCTTGACAGTGAAATGAAAAAATTGAATCCATGCCGTCCATGATCAATGCAGTCATTTTATCAAGTACCTTCCGACTGGATTTTATCATAATCAACTTCTTCCTGTACTCTGTATACCTGTACAATATTTATCTGCCAATATTTACATTCCTGAATTTTTTTTATGTATATTTCTTTTTTCCAAAATCATAAAATGATGTTCGATTTTCTATAATAAGCCTGATAATAACCATTGCATTATGAGTATAGTGTAAATCCTCTTATTAAAGGATATTTATGGTATTATAACAACATCTACCCACATCCGTTATTTACTCCCTCCCCTTCTCCAGTATGTATTTGTCTTCGCCTCCCCCCACCCCCCATCCCTACCCCCACCCTCCGACCTCCACCCTCCACCTCTACCACAGATGTACCTTGAAAAATCTCTCACGTCTACTTATATCCTTAAATGGATTGTCTGTTGTTGCTAGCAAAAATTTGTTTTCATACAGATTTTACCAATATAGAGTTTCAAAATTTTCCATTCTAGATTTGTTTGATGAGAACATATATTCTTCATTCCAATGTTTTGATTTTTTCAGATGTTGGAAGGAAAGCAATAGAAGGAAGGAATGAAGACAGATCTTCTGCTTCCTCTAAAGAAGATTCAACATCATCTGAATATCAGTCGGCAAAATCGGTATGTTCACTAAAAACTGTTTTCATCAATCTGTTTTTGACAAAAATATTCTGTGATATGTTTCTAATATACATTTTTTTTTACTTCTGTAAAATTTCGACTGGCAATTTTTATTCGCATTGTTTTGAAATTGTGTGTTTTAATCTTAATTAACCATTGTACTTGTGTTTTAAACTGTTAATGTAGTTGAAATTTAAATAGAAAAAAACCCACAATTTTTTTCAGTGGTATAACCATTGATAAGTTTTTTCTAATGAGTGTATACAATTAGTTATGTGATCTGCTTCACCTCTAATTCACATGAATAACATCAAATCCACAAGTTATGTATTCATTACACTGTTTATTAACTCTCAGATAACTGATTCTGAAATTCATGAAGGAAAAATGCGATGATGTCACACATTCACAGCGACGTGAAAACTGACGTTAGCTTTTATTTTCAATTTTTCTGTCAATAAACTTTAAATTTGAATGTGTAAATATCTTGTTATATGTTTCGTATTAGCAAAGTCAAAAAAGTGTGCTTAAAGCATTCCATACGAAAAATTTATGAAATATAACAAAGCTGCTTTCATCAGACGAAATGCTAACATAAAATGCATTTCCAATTTTTTTATATTATAGCATACTAAAAAGTATTTTTGACTCCCTAAATTTTCCATTTTTGTTATTCTGAACTGGTATACATATACTGTTAGGTTAGAATTAAGATTTTTATTGAAGGAAGAAAACTGAAAGTCAATAACATAGTTGAAATTATCTCAAACAAAAGCAATCTATTCATTAGGGAATAAATTTGTGAATGAAACTTCTCAGTGTTACATGTGATTGAAAGAAAGAATAAAACCTATGAAGGCTGATTGTCATTTTTAATAATTTAAAAAAAAAGGAAATATTGTTCATCAAGATGATAACCAATATCTTCATCCTTTTCTTGTAGACAATCTGAACGCTACATTTCCATGTAGACAACGGCTACATGTTATGATAATAGTTACCCGAGGAATTGACCCCGTTACATGACCTTTCATTCACATTGACACGCCCCTATCTCATGTTTGATTGCTGTTGTGTTTTACCATTTGAACATTTTAACTGTATTATTTGCCCGTTTTTCTCCCAAGTTTTTCTCCGTTGATTTTGAATTTCTCATATTTTCTGAAAAGTTTGAAAACCTTAACTATGCTTGCTTTCATAATCAAATTGGAAAAAATTTTTATGAAATGAGTTTGCGTGTGGGAAGGATTTCTTTGTTTCAATTTTTTAGGAGCAGTTAATTTCTAGAATGTGCATGTGTGTATTTTCTAAAGATTGTTTTATCCTCAGAAATTAAAAAAGAACTTTTATTTTTAAGGCTCATCATTTATGCATACTTATTTATTTTTTTGCCCAATGTATCTGTATAATCACAGTAACATTAAGTACAGTCTGGGAAAAAGTTGCACAGATTTGCAGATGAAAAGAAGAATGCTTCCTTAAAGTGAAAAAAAGGGGGTGTATGGGGTAAAAACCTGACTGGCTGTGCATAGGTATTTAAGGAGAAACCAGACTTATTTGAAAACAATATTATATATTTTAAACCAGTTACAAGATATTATAGTAAATATTTTAAGTATATGAAAGCCACTTTCTAGCTTTTACTCTTTTAATTGAAATTCAGTGGATACCTACTCAAAATACTGATCAGATCTAGGGGGATAAGATAAGGAAAGGAAAACAACTTTTTTTTTAATTTGTTAAAAAAGGAAATGTTGAAGATAAATTCTTAAGGGAACTGATGTGAAAATAATAAACATTAAGGATGCTAGTTTCAGGGTTTTAAAAACTTGGATCATTGTAGAATTTCAACTCTCTTTGAAATTTGTTCACAAAGGGATAGGGTTATAACAATGAGCATGAATCCGTCACTGGTAATAACTTGTTTGTTATACCACTACACAGGTTTGCTGGTTTGACCTCAGTTTTTTTTTTATATTTCCTTAATAACAAATTGTTTGTGTGTTGATTTTTTTATCTATTTTCCCGTCCCCATTCACAGGGTGTGTCTTCGCGCTATCCCCTCCACACACCCCAGCATGGTCTTAACAGTGCACGTTCATCTAACTCTCACACTGAAGAGCATGCCCAGCCTAGGTCTTCTGTGCTCGACAAACTGCTGCCATCACGATTCAATATACCATCTAAGGTAAGTACCTAACCAGAGTACCATCAGTATAGGGTTATCTCAGCAGCTGTACCACAAGGGAAAAACTTGGGTCTGTCTAATACTGAGGATATGAGCTGGCCTAAAGGACGCAACATCTTGACTGATCTTGTACTATTTAAGCAGGTCATTAAGTGTAATTAAACTGTCTGAAGATTATCGTTAAGTGTCTAAATAACAACACTTTAAATCTCTGTTGTGACCTTGACATAAAAGTGACTTAACTCCCTTGTAAGTCTGTGGTATGACCATAAGGTGACTGAATCAACTACCTTTTATATGTCTGGTTTGACCTTGGATTGAGGTGACAGAGCCAGGTTTTTAGTGTCTGATTTGACCTTGAGCTGACATGGCTGACTTTCATTGTCTGGTTTGACCTTGGATTGAGGTGACAGAGCCAGGTTTTTAGTGTCTGATTTGACCTTGAGCTGACATGGCTGACTTTCATTGTCTGGTTTGCCTTTGAGCTGACATTTTTAGGCTGATTTGACCTTGAGCTGATTGTCTGGTTTGCCTTTTGAGCTGACATGGCTGACTTTCATTGTCTGGTTTGCCTTTGAGCTGACATGGCTGACTTTCATTGTCTGGTTTGCCTTTGAGCTGACATGGCTGACTTTCATTGTCTGGTTTGCCTTTGAGCTGACATGGCTGACTTTCATTGTCTGGTTTGCCTTTGAGCTGACATGGCTGACTTTCATTGTCTGGTTGAGCTGACATGGCTGACTTTCATTGTCTGGTTTGCCTTTGAGCTGACATGGCTGACTTTCATTGTCTGGTTTGCCTTTGAGCTGACATGGCTGACTTTCATTGTCTGGTTTGCCTTTGATATCTTGAGAAAAATGTTTAATGTGAAGAGTTAATTGGAATAAATGGCTGAATGGCTGATGAATCCATCAGCAGGCATCAACTCTCTTAATCACAATGATAAAGGGTCCTTTTTTAGGGTCAAGAAGAACGACTTGCAGATATTTTTCAAATTAGTAACCCTGACCCATGCAGTTTCTTTAAGATAACTAAATTGCTCCAGTCATGATATTGGGCCAGTATTATGCTGGGATGCTGTTTTGTTTGTTCAAATGAACTTGATTCATCTTCTACTTTACAGGAGTTGAATGTGATTAGATTTTGAATACACTTCTTCTGCAAAACCGAAAATCCCATGGTCATGTTATCGGACAAAAAGCATAATGGCATGTGAAAGACTGTTTGATTGATCAAAATGATAGTTAACAGTGGTCAAATGTGTGAAACCCAAAGTTTTGTTTTTTATCTGCAACATACTGTAAGGAGGTATTAGAATTGGAAGGCTGAAAAGAATTAACTGGCTGCAATGATGGTGAGCGCTGCAGGCACATTGGGCCACTTGTTTGTATATTGGCTCTTTAATGTATTGATAATGCAATCTCGTAAATAGAAGTTTAGATAGAAATACTTTGCTTATACCAAGCAGATAATAATAATAAAGTTGTTGAATTTTGTTTGTTTCCTATTGTACTGTCTCTTTGTAGGTATCGTCTGGAATTTCTATATTTTCAAGTGACAGTGATCGTTCCCATGACAACATTGTTAGTAACAAACAAGTGGAAGACATCAACAAATCTCCACGACGAATCGCCCGACAGAAAGATTTCTCATCTCTCTTACAAAAGTTCTCCAGCTCAGAACAGTCCAGTTCAGAGTCGGAGCCTGTCGCAGTATCACCTAGGCGGAAATTTAGTCTTCGCAGACAAGAAGCTTGTGCCGTAACTAGTAGTGATGAGTCGAACACAGAGAGATCACGTCGCACACCAGAAAGAACTCAAAGTCTTCGTGTGCGTAATAGCCCTGTACCTGAAGATCGTGGACTATCCACAGTTCAAAGGTCAGGGAGTTTTAAATCAGACTTCATGAGGAGACAAAGCCCCAGCTCCACTGACAGGGTTCCACTTCCTGTAGAGACTGTTCAGAAATCGAATGATACTTGGAATGAAAACATGGACAAACCGTCACCTGAGTTAGCTGCAGTGCTTAGTAAGAGACAGGAGGTGGTGACCAGTCAACAACAACAAGGGGAACAGCTAGAGAGAGATAGAATAACAGATAAAAGTGTGGAGAAAGACTCATCCCGGAAATCTGTGCCTGGTGTTAGTGAGAATATTGTAGACAAAGAAGTGGCAGCCATCTTGAATTTACGGCGGAAGGAAATGGATGTGATGACAAAAGAGGTGTTAGCACCATGTCCCATTACCTCAACGGAGGTTCATCTTACTAAACCTGACATATCTCAAACAAAACTCACATCATCTGTTACATCAGGGGAGGGGTCATTATCTCAGTCTAATTCTAAACATGACAGTGATAAAGTATCACCACGGATAGTGGAAGATATCACTAAAATGGAAAGAGGATCTCCAGATGGAGAGAGTGCTGTCCGGATGGATATTTCCGCAATTGATACAAGCCTTGCTGTCCTTGACAAGGTCACAGCAGAAATGGACCATATGTGTGAATCAAGTACAGATAGAAAGACCCAATCTCAATCCAGCGATCCAAATCTAACATCATCTCTAAGTAAATTACATGTAGAAAGCCCAGCTGATGTAGCTCATTTCATCAACACTGTTCAACAAGAGGCTGCATCATGTAGCGATGAAAAAGTGTTACCACAAAAACAGCCTGCTCCTAAAAACGTAACTGAGAAAACTATTCGTCGTGCTTCCATTGAAAAGTCAAAAGAGATATCCAAGCCAATTGTAAGGGCTGTTATAGAGGCGGCTCCCAAAAAGGACACTCCAGATAGGACTATTGAAGGGAGATTATCTCCCTTCCGAGATCGCGTTTCCTCAGCTGGAAAAACAATACAACCATCAGTCTCACTTTCATTAAAGAGGACACAATCATTAGGTAAAGTGGATATATCCGAACAAAAATTGAAAGGAATACTAAAACGAACACCTTCATTGAAACAAACTTCAGGCGTCATCGTGGACGCAGAATTAGCAAGTATCCTGGAGCGACGTCGCGCCCAGGAAGGTGAAGACAATGATGAGGGAGAGAAGAAAGTCCTTTCTGCCAAAGATGACATTAAGGAAACGTTGAGGTAAGCTTTCCAACTAACTAGGAAATTATTTTCCAGACAATTTACACCTAAGTTGCAGGGAAGATTAAGGACTGGAGGTTTATAAACACTGATCATTAGTTTTGTAATCTCTTGAGCAATAGAAATTAAAAAAAAAAAAATTTTGAAACAATTCCCCAACAACCATGTGAATTCAGTGATCTGTATTTTTATGCTGACGTGGTCTGTGCTTTTTCATGACGTTTCTGTTGTTATGTATATGTCTCAGGGGGATGACATCATGGTATGATATCACACTTGAACATCTTTGATATTTTGCCAGGTGGGTGGGAAGGAGAGAATGTTTCAGCTAGGACTAGGTTACCGTACACCTGGTGACTGTGTATGGTGTGTTCATGTTTGTTTCTTGCTTTTATCAAAGGTTTTCCCATTTTAGTTCCGTCTTTGTCAACCTTCCTCTGATCTAAATACCAGTATATAGATATTGACATAATTCATGTATTAGTAATCATTTGAAAAGACATTTTAAATTCCTCAGTGTTCAAAACTAAGGGTAGCAACTCTTGCTAGTTTTGAATCAATACTGATACTCAATAGTGTTACACATACATGTGTTATATAATGGGAAAATGAAAGTTCAAGCTTATATTCATTTCTTACAGCTGTGTGGATGGGGATTTGGTATCTTATAAGGAAATCAATAGAAGTGGAAAATAAAAATTAAATATTGAGAAGGATTGCCTGCCAGTGTTCGGTAGGTTTCATTGTGGAGAGTCAGAACAAAAAACTAAAAAATGAACAGATACTTTATGAAGCCATTGATTTATCTAGTTATAATGGAAGTTAGAGGTAGATTTTGATCCAAAAATCAATAGATAGGATATTATTTTGTGAGAAATGGCTGAAGAAGGATGATATTAATTAGATTTGACAGGTGTAGAGTGTAGAGGGACGTTGTAATGAGGGTGTTGGCAGGTGAAGGTCAGGGCAGGATGTCTTTCTACTGACAACGTGCATAGTTAATTAACATTATGCATATGCTAGAATCATTATTAATTAGCAACATGTGTACACATGTGTAAGGTTGTTTGGTATGCAGCTTGGTGTATTAAGTGACAAAGTATAGAAGGCTAGGTCACTGACAGGAACATCCAATAGGGTTATACTTTGCATGTTGTTTAACAGTGGACATGACAGTTACCTCAGAAAGATAGTGGGGCTGTCTACAGGGAATAGTAGTTCTAGTGGGGCCCACCACAGGGGATGGTAGCTCTAGTGGGGCCCGCCACAGGGGACGGTAGCTCAAGTGGGGTCCACCACAGAGGATGGCAGTTTTGGTGGGGCCTACCACAGGGGATGGCAGGTCTATTGGGGCCCAACATAGGGATGGCGGCTTTAGTGGCCCATCAAAAAAGATGGCAGTTTTATTTTGAATTGCATTTGTAATGGATCCTACCACAGAAGAGGATGATTTTAATAAGTCTGACACAGGGCTAGTAGTTTTAATGGGCATCCACATTAAACAATTTTATTGGGGCTGACTGGTGGTGCAAGCAGGTCTATAAAGTGGAGCTTGTGATCAGGGCTTACAATACTAATGTAGGCTGATGTAAACTTTCATTTGATCTGCCTTTATTATGGTGATCTAGCCAAGATCTCACTAGATTCAAGTCTTCTGAAATAAAAAGTATAGCATATAAGGCTGAATGTGTACCAGGTATGTCCTACAATAAGACAAGGGAGTCAACACATGGCCTTCAAGGAATGGGTGGGCTTATTAGTGGACAATGAAAAGAGATTTGTTGATATTGTGTACTTGGCAGCATGAGTTGATATAGACTTCTTGTCAGATGATTATGTTAACAGGAAACAATAACAGAAGCAGCTAGTTTGCTCAAATATTAATATATTTTTGTATGTTGATTGTTTCCTAGTTAAATGCCACTTTGTGTATCTCATAGTCAGACTGTTCGTGTTGTAATTACGTCTGTCTGCTCTACGAGATGTAATCTCTTTTATCCTTTTTTTTTATATCGTCATGATAAATGGTGGAAGAATTATGCAATATTCCTACTTGATTGATATTTTGTATCCTCCAATACTTTCTTGAAAACAAAAATCTTGATATTTTGGTGATGTAAGAACTAGGACTATAAATAGCTATGGTTTTGATGTTTTATTACTGTTTTCTGTGGCCATCAGATTTTGATGGATTTTACGTCTGTTCTCCCTTCACAGTTTCTAGCTGTTGTTGTGTTGAAGCCAAAACGATCTCTAGTACCATTTCTTACATCAGTCAAGGTCATACATAACTCTCTCGGTCAAATTACAGCATTGTATTCCCCTCCTGGAGCCCCTTCTCTTCCTGTATTGTAAAATTATCTTTTCATTTCAATTATCAATTAATGCCTTCTTTTAGAACTAAATATCACAGAAAAAAATCAGATATTTATAAAATTATTTTGTCTTTTTAAAAAAAAATTATTCCTTAATTTTGATTTCTCATTATCGTAGTTTAGATAAGAAGATATAGATATCACATCTGTTCAGCAATAAGCCCGCCCACATCTTTTTGAGTGTCAGAAGAACTGCTAACAAATGTCCTATAATGATCCTTATATCCCTTACATTAGATCAGTTTTGGCCCCTTGGCTTCATTATTACAGGATTTATATGGTATGTTTATACTTCTCACTTCTTATTGTACAATTCTTAATATACACATTGTTTTAGCTATATGTCTTTATGATAGTAATATGCTTGACTAGTTGGTGTCTAACTTTTATATGGAATATTCTAAACTAACTATCTCCTTCAATGCATGCATGTGTCCTCTTACCCTTAAAGGGTTATCATTAGATATTCCATCTGGACATCTGTATTTCTCAATGTTTGAGGGTTCTAGAAGGAAATGTAAAATGAATCCAGATATTGTAGAATTATAGATGAAAAGCATAAATGCTTTTTTATTAATATGATGAAAATTATTTTCAAATTGAACAACCCCGTCAATTTGACATATGATATAATATCTGGATATAAATGATTGGTATCATAGTGATTAAATGTATCTACCTGTAGAGAAAGGTAAGATAATTTAGATCAGATTTAATCTCTGAACTTTTCACGACCCACATAGTGAATATTTCCTATGTTGGCTAAAACACTTACTGGACATTTCCTATATTGGCTAAAATGTCAGTGGTCAAGTCATAGTTGTGTCATATATGACTTAATTCATCGAACTCCAAACCTAATCAAACTACTTTCAGCCCTATGTAGGGCACACTGGCCTAACCTCATTATTTACACTTTGATTACCCCTTTTTGGCCCCCTCTGAAAGCTTGGACAGTGTAATCCAAGGACAGGTTGATTTACTGGACATGTGTGTTACCCATGTGAGGGCCTCTTTATGCTAGTCATTTGGCAAAAGGTGTAGATTCTCAGTTTATCAGCTGATGAGGAGATGTACATTTCTGAGGTTCTGATGTTGTTGCTATGGTAAATTTGTAGTTCCTTACTCCCAGACCATTCTTTAGTTTTACATGTCGAGCTACACTGTGCTGTTACACAGAAGATTGTGCAACAACAGGTGAAAGATAGAGATTGTAAAGCTTACAGAAACAGGTAAAATTTCAAAAAGTTCTGAATATGAAGACACATCAAAACCATAGTAACTGATTTGTTACTGAAGAGCATGTCTATACCTCATACTTAGAGATCTAATATAACAGATAGCTGATACATGGGCTATGTTAGAGGTATGAATATTTCTTATAAAACCAAATTTATCAATAATATTTGCTGATTTTCACAGACGTGAACGTAAACATCGTGGAGACAGCATAGATGATGAGGAAAATGGCACAACACACCAGGCAGGTGTGTCCATGGCTGAGAGGATATACAACATGCAATCTCGCCTTGAGGAAATACAATCATGTCCAGTGACTCCTAAGACTAAATCTGGCACCACTACACCAAAGTTTACATTTAAAAGGTAGGTAACTCTTGTTTCCTTAGAAGTTGAGTGTTCCTGTTGTACTAGTCTTTTCAATGGAAACTGATTATGTGAACTCGTCAGATAAGTAGTTCTGGTGTCTCTCCAAAAAATGAATGATTGCCAGTATCCCTCAGAGTGGGTAACTGTTTTATGACAGAAACAATTTATTGTAATGTTTAAAGACCCCTACCATTAAAGGGAGGTAAATCAAACAAATCAGATAAATTAAAAACCGTTACCGAAAGCTTTTTAAAAAAACGAATGTAGGCGGGTTTATTTATTTATTTATTTTTTTGTAATTTTTAGTGGTCTGAATGGAAATGTTTATGCTGATTACAGATCTTCAGTTGCACACTGACTTGGGTGTAGTGTTTAGTGAGGAAATCAAAAACGGAATAGATCCAATCTCTGACAGTCCAGTAGATGTTTTGATTGATAGTCTAATGATATCAACATTTAAAACAGATTTCAGTGTAATTTTGGATGATTTAAAGATAGGATTGATGGTGTGTACATGACATCAGGCATGCTAGTGTTGCTTATAAAGATTTAATGCTATACATGAAGAAAAAAGTAAACAGCTTGATTAAAAAAATAACAGAAAGTCTTCTGTTCATTGTATATTTTCTGTGTTTAAAGCGTTTCACTAAGAGTTGAATTAACACAAATTTGCATGTCTTTCTGAACATCTGTTTATTGATATGTCTTATACCATGAAAATCATTGCATATAGAAATAAACTGGATTAGTCCTCATATCCCTATGTTGGATCAATGGAACACTCTCATATGTTTACTTGGGCCAGTCAATTACTAATTCTAGGGTATGGAGTAATTATGAACAAAAAAACATGGATGTTATAGACTGAAGTGCAGTATCCCTCTAGCAATGGCAGAAGATATGGAAATTATATGATAAATATGATAGATAGTGAGACATGGTCTAGCTTTGTCTGTAAACACTCTTTACATTTTTATTGCACCTTTTTTATATAGAAGCCTACGTAGCTGGAGAGATAATGAAACATTGTTTACTGTTGTGTGGATCCTGTAATATTTGTAGTTAAGGACTTTATGTTCTGTGCTCAGAGGACTTTATGTTCTGTGCTCATCAGTGTCATACTCCAACAACACTGGTATATTAAAATAGATCTCTGAGTCATAAAAAAGTCAATGTTTACCCTTTGTGTTTGTTAAATGAAGGAGAAAATCCTGGGAAACTAAAGTATGCAATTATTTTGTGCCATATTTATCACAGAACAAGCCTATGAGTGATTACAGTTCACTCACAACTTTTGCAGTTACCAGGGATTGTCCTGGGCCGTTATAAATCTGCCCCACAACTTTCAGTGAGACATCCCCGTTATAAATCTGCCCCACAAATTTCAGTGAGATATCCCCGTTATAAATCTGCCCCACAACTTTCAGTGAGATATCCCCGTTATAAATCTGCCCTACAATTTTCAGTGAGATATCCCGTTATAAATCTACCCCACAACTTTCAGTGAGATATCCCCGTTATAAATCTGCCCCACAACTTTCAGTGAGATATCCCCGTTATAAATCTGCCCCACAACTTTCAGTGAGATATCCCTGTTATAAATCTGCCCCACAACTTTCAGTGAGATATCCCCGTTATAAATCTGCCCCACAACTTTCAGTGAGATATCCCGTTATAAATCTACCCCAAAACTTTCAGTGAGATATCCCCGTTATAAATCTGCCCTACAATTTTCAGTGAGATATCCCCATTATAAATCTACCCCACAACTTTCAGTGAGATATCCCCATTATAAATCTACCCCACAACTTTCAGTGAGATATCCCTGTTATAAATGAGATATTGTCTTCTAGCAGCACTGATCTTATTATATGATAGATATGGCAAACAGGAAATTTCAATGTCTTTGAAAATACTTTACATACAAAATGTGCATTTTGATATCAATTAGGCTTTGATGAAGTGCCAGAGTAGGTACATGATAGTAATTATGATGTGATTATAGATACAGGAGCTTGCTGGTACTCTGTGTCTGACAGTCATCAGACAGGCTATCCTTTATCCCAAGTTTATATAATAGCATGTGGCGTTCTTGTACTTGATAATATAATCATAATTTCAAGTCCCTTTAATACGCATCAGGAAACTAAAGGATGAAATGACGTACCAGTTCAAATATCCGGCACATTTTTGTTTATTTTCATCCATGTTTAATATTTATTTATTTTATCTGTTGTCATGAAATTATCTCCTTTCATCAGGACATGATTCAGTTGGAAATTTCTTTTCTATTTATAGATGAACTATACACACTTTATCTAGAAAATAGAATTACTTTGACAAGTCATGTAATGGTTTCAGAAATAGAAATATTTTTGGAAGATGATATTATATACTATTTTTGACACCATTTTTGTTAATGAACAGGCAATGTTAAGGAAGAAGGTGGAAATTTATTAAACTTATATAACTCTTTTACATAATCCTCAGAGGGTGAAATGAACGTGAGGTGAATTCCTCTATAAGGATACATGGATGAAAATTTCGCGGTGTATTGAAAAAAATTGTTTATTTCATGCAGATGACACTAATAATTAATAACTCACCTAAAATTTTTTGAAGTCTTGAATGAAAATTTTTAACAGAAATGTAGATCAGTTTTGATGAGTAGCAATGTGATTATCTTTTCTCTTAGTATAATATGAAAATGAAAAAATACAAGTTTAAATTTTGGAAACATAAACATTGATGTCTTAAACATATAACATGATCAATTACACTTTCAATTCTTTTTTGGTTTCCAGGGGTGAAAGTCCAAAGACTTCAGCAAGTTTCGATTTTTCATCAGAACAGCCTTCTGTATCTGGGGAGTTGTTGATAGAAAGACTGAGCAGCCTTGCTGATAAAGGAAAATCAGTGACATCAAAGCGCAAGCAATTCCAGGAAAGTAAACGAGAGGATTGGAGACGGCGCACACAGCCAGTGACTTTAGAGGAAATCCAGGAGGCTGACAGGTTGGTGTTCCACAGCCTTATTTGTTGGGTTATTCTCGGTCTGTTTCCACAATGAATGTTAATGGGAGGTGTCAGTTAATATTTTGTGAAAAAAAGTAGTGAAGGAATTGTTTAAAATATTTTTGTCCAAACCGTTTCCAAAAATCTTAATTGTAAAATATGATTTTGATATTATAAATGATATGTATAGTCATCTTGAAAAAAATGAAAAAAAAAGTGAGTTTAGTTTACATGATGAACTAATGTATGCTCAAGTTTTGTAAACAAAAACTGAAAATTTTAATAATTTCCTTGGCATCAAATTAACGAAGATGTTCATTGTTTTCAAATTCATCAACCAACAAGTAAGATATAGTTTACAGATTGGGCTCTGTAGATATCTAGCTCAATTGAGTTTAACGTTCAGTGACAAATCTGTTCAAAATTAGAAACACAGCATATAAGTTTCCTCTGACAACAGAAATGCTTTGGTCAGACATGTGTAAACAATATGTTCAGGTTACGGTTGTAAGAGTCATGCCTCCAGACACAATTAGGTTGTTTGACAAGCTTCTGTGTGACACAGATTTGTCAAAACTCACTGACCATAAAATCAGGGTCACGCACCTCATGTTAACTGACACCTCTTACTTATCATCCCGAAATTCTTGTGGAAATATAAAGCTGTAGAGATTGTATCGGTCTGTTCTCCGGTGTCATGTTTTTACTGTCCTCATCATATTGCTTCATATGTTTAACTGCTTTCCATGTGGTATCTAATATGTTGACTATGTTTTTTTTTTGCTTATATTTCTTTTCGTTTTTGTATATTCTCACTTTATCTGACGTAATATAATAGACATCTACAATCATAAAATTTCTTGTATTTAGGAATTAAAAATTTCTTTCAATCTAGTAAACAAATATGTCACAGTAAAGAAATTAGCACTGAAATAAAAATAACATGCTTTCTGTTTGTGCTGTTAGTGTGTAAATTCATGTTCAGTTTAGGGTTGCAATCATTCATGCTACCTATTTATTGTCGCAGTAAATGGTGTTTATTTCTATCTAGATCTACCTGAAACGTGTTCGTCGGTAATTACGTCACTAGAGTATAAAGGTGTATGCTATTTCAAGTTAAAGTATAAAAATAGAGTATGACTATGATATTTAGAGTCACAAGTGTGATAGAAATTCGTTATCAACATGATAGAGCGGAAGAGACATTTCAGGATAGATTTATCTTATGAGGAACTTGTGATGGTAAGAAGGGATACAACTAGGTTGTTTTAAGAATTGTTAATGAACCAGTGTAGTTATTTGTAAATTTGGCAACTGACATAAGTTAGCAAATTCAGATTTTTATTTCAACTTTCTTATTCCCTATAATAAATGTATATTAAATACTAGCTTTTAAGTATTGTGACATGAAGAATAAGATTCCAATTTATTCATATTTCAGTTTCAGTTTAAAGAAAACCCTCGATCTTAAGTTAAGTCTATTTAGAGATATCCTCAATAGATACACTAGAACTAAGTTTGATTTTTAAAAAAAAATTTTATGAGAAAATCAAAAACCAAACAGCACTTCTGTCTTCATCAGCTTGTGATATGCCTCTGATATCTACAATATATCAAATATTTCATTTCTTCTCTTTTCTCAAGTGGCGCATGCTGGATGTTGTATATCTATTTATTTCGTTGTTTTTCTTTCTACCTACCCTGTTTACAGTTTAGAATCAGTTCGAGCCTTTCGAGCCGAAGTGCTTCGTAAAGCCTCTACCAATGTGTTCCAGCAGTTTCAAAAACAGAAATCACTTCCCATCAAAAAGACTGAATTTCCTCATCCGTATCATCGTTTGAAACCCAATAAGTCGAGAAAAGACAGACATAAGACACTGCCTATAACGGCAGCAGAATTAAGTGCCATTCCCGAAGGTCAGACAGGTGAATTTGTAACCTTCCGAACCAAAAAGGATACAAACGGAAATCGGGATTCAAAAACAGACTCTGGAATTCTTTCTGACGTCGAAGTTGACTCACAGGTCTCTGACAAAATGTCAGACAGTTTACGAAGTCTCGGTATTGAAACAGATTTAAATGATGATGATCCTGCTAGACTCAGTGTGTCAGCCAAAGCCTCCATATTTAAACAACAAATCGAAGAAAAGTCAAAGTCAGCTAGTGGGGCCAAAAGATATATCGACAGGAAGAAACGGGAAAGGTCAAGGACACAACCTGTCACCGAAGACGAGGTCAAAATAGCCGCAACCATGGGCGAAGACGGAACTGAAGAAAGTGAGGAAAAAGTAGAGGAGGAAAAGAAAGATTATAAAAAAGAAGAAAAGGAAGATGATAAGGGAGAGAAAGAAAAGAAAAGACAAGAAGGTGATGAATCTGATGAAGCAGATGTTTCCAGGTAGGTAGGATGTGAATGTGGGTGATAGTAAATAACATAGAGGTTATTGGAGAAATGCTTTGGTTGTAGAAGGAATGTTAGAAGCTTTTAGCATGTATCTATTGTGTCTCTATTGGATATTTGTTAAGCATGTGGTGCTGGCAATACTGATGCTTATGAATATGGATAATATATATATATATATGTATATATATGTAAAATTGATGTAAAATGAGAGGGAAAAAAACAGATAACTATTTGTATGTTTGGTAAAACAATGGATTTGTTATCATTAGGAATATACCATGCAAATTTCCTGTACAATTATCAACAATTTTAGGAAAAGGAGCAACATAGTACCTAAGGTCATTTAGAGTTTGTTGATGACTCCTCGGTCACAACAAGGTCAATTATCCTGGTTCTCATAATATCAAACTAGCTTGGGCTGTTATAGAGATAGGGTTCGTCCTCTTTCTGCACATCTAATTGATCGTTATAAGAAAGTTGATAGACCCTGAGTGATATTTAACTGTTGGGAAGTCTTAACAATGATACCTGTTAAATGATCTGTGACCTCTGTCATAATGAGAATGACCTCTGGCCATATCCTGTTGACCATTAGGACATGAATGTTAATTTGACCCGGACAGGGATGGTTATGTGTATAATTCTAGAGCAGACTATAAGTGATACACCCCCACTGCTTGTCAACAATATAAATAGCCACTTTTATGGAAATGACTATTCAGGTACCACATATCATCCCAGTTTGACCTCTGACCTCCAGTAGTTTAAGGTCATGTGACATCCAGACAGGAAAGCCCCTATCAAGTTGACGTTATAACAATGTGTATATTGAGTACATGTAAGGGTTGTAATACAATACGGAGTAAACTACAGACAGAATAGTACAAAGCTGATGACAGTGCAGAACACAGCAATTATACAAATTTGGGATATATTTACCTGCTAAATGTGTGTTCTGACGACATACTTACAAATTTTTCATGAAGGTAAGTAAGACTTCCTAAGAAAGAAAGAAATTTGAGTTATTGATCAGAACTGGGAGTGCGTGTAAATATTAACTCCAGGTGATACAAGTGTTTTCCTCGTTATAGATATGGGACCTTTTCTAGACTAAGTCAATAAACTGCACAGCTGGACATATACATGTATAGTTACAGAACGTAATGGGGTAAAGTAAGAAGCTTGTCAGAAATATATGACATTTACATGTAGTTCTTAGCTGGTGAATGCTGCTGTGCTTGTTATTGTCTTTGTAACCATCAACAGATTTTATAAAAAAAAAATTGATATTTTGTCAATTTATTGACAGTAGATTTTGTTACATATCTGTATGGAAACAACGTAGGTAAATACAGGGAGTTTGCTTAGTGTTGTTTAGAGCATTATGAATTTGATGAATATCCTCGATACATAATATGCACTTCCATATTCCTTGTAATTTAACACAATAGAAAACATCTTGTACATATATCTGATCTCAACTGCTTACTGTAAATTGAATTATCTCCCTTCCTATTACATGTACTCTATCATAATATATTCTGTTGTCATCTTCCACTGTTTCTCTAAACTTTTATTGTAGTTAATTGATGTCTGTAGTTTTTTTCTTTATATTGATTTATCTCCCCTTGTTTATCAGATTGCCTTCAGAGTAAGTACTTTTAGAAAGCTAGACCTTGATTGGTTTTTAAAATTTTTGTGAGTTATTTTTAATTAATCATCATCGCTAAAAGAAATTCATAGCGTATGCATAATTCTTTGTCCAGAAATCACTGATATTGAAGCTAGTAATGCTAAATTAATTTATATTTTTCATTTGTGAAGGGAAGGAGTTGGGGGGGGTGGGGGGGAGGAGAGAGGAGAGAGAGACAACATCTTTTGATATGCAAAATAATTGGTTTATACTTTAATTAACACAAAAGCAAATATGTCCAATGAAACCTCTTTTCGTTATATATCTGGGATGAAAATATTTCTACACCTTCCAAATATGGGTGATGTCGTCATAATCAGAAATATTTGATCTCAAGTTAGTGTAGAGTAGAATAGTTTGCTTGCTGGAATTAAATGGTTTGGAATTACAATAATAGTATATTCTTTTATACTTGTGTACTGTTCGCTTGTGTTGAAGTGTACATTTTTGATGATTTGTTTAAAGATTTGTCTGAATGGATGATATTCATGTGTTGATTGATGTCGACTAATACCAGCAGTTTGTAGTGTGTTCCTGTGTACTAATGGACTGGAGAAGCTAGTCTGTCCTTTATATAACAAGATATTGACCTTGTGGTTTACTAGTCTGACAGTACATAAGTACTCTAACTTCCTACCCATCAGAATCTGGTGTTTATTGTAGGACCTTGTTTGACCTCTGCTGCTCCTGTTTTACATACTCTTCAACAGATACTGTGAAAACATTTATATATAGCTATGTCATTATTCAATTTTCTCAGCAAAATGAGTATAAACTATAGAAATATTAAATTTTCTGACATGGATGATGATAGAGCACGTTTTCTATATAATATTTTGTGATAGCAAACAATATTTTGTAGATCTTCTGAGAGTAGAAATATATATTTTGATGTGAACGTTATTTTTTAGAAATTTATTTTGTTTGTCATGCTGAGTATAAAGGACATAGCTAGATCAAACCACTGATGATTGTAGATTTATGATTTGGCTACAGCTACGATTTGGCTAGGAGTACTGTGATAGATCAGGAATATGCTCACTCATGCTCTTAAAAATATATCATGACTGTGTGGTGTAACATAAAATTACATCAAGTCTATAAGTTTCATGTTTATTTTGTTCACTTTGTGAAAGCCTTCGTACAATGAAGAGTTCTAACTATAGGGATCATGGCGGACTGTGACCTCTCTAATTGGTTAAACACTATGACCTGCTAGATGAAAGATCATTCAAAGCCTTAGAAGTTTTGTGTAATTAGGGATTTAGTATGAAGCATGAAATTAGAGAGATGGTTGGTACTGGTACAAAAATATGGGAAAAATGGATGGGGGTGTGTTGGTGTGCCAGGAAGAGGGTGGAGAAATCTAAGTACAATGGCATCAAGTTATAAAACAATTTAATAAATCATATTGATATGGGTATTTCTTTTCCTCAATATTTTCATGATCAGTATGTATCTTTTTAAGGCTTAAAAATACATAGAAATTTGTGTATATTTCTGGTCAAAATGACCCAGCTTTTGTGAAATGTGTTAACACATAGAAATTTGTGTATATTTCTGGTCAAAATGACCCAGCTTTTGTGAAATGTGTTAACACATAGAAATTTGTGTATATTTCTGGTCAAAATGACCCAGCTTTTGTGAAATGTGTTAACACATAGAAATTTGTGTATACGTCTGATCAAAATGACCCAGCTTTCCTGTACTGTGTTAATACATAGAAAGTTGTGTATATTTCTGGTGAAGATGACAAGGCTGTGGTGTACTGTGTTAATACATAGAAAGTTGTGTATATTTCTGGTGAAGATGACAAGGCTGTGGTGTACTGTGTTAATACATAGAAAGTTGTGTATATTTCTGGTGAAGATGACAAGGCTGTGGTGTACTGTGTTAATACATAGAAAGTTGTGTATATTTCTGGTGAAGATGACAAGGCTGTGGTGTACTGTGTTAATACATAGAAAGTTGTGTATATTTCTGGTGAAGATGACAAGGCTGTGGTGTACTGTGTTAATACATAGAAAGTTGTGTATATTTCTGGTGAAGATGACAAGGCTGTGGTGTACTGTGTTAACACACAGAAAGTTTTGTTTATTTCTGGTGAAGATGACAAGGCTGTGGTGTACTAGTTATAAATGACCTTGGTCTCAGAGAATGTGGATTATGTGGTATTGGGCGAGAGAGATGAGAGTCAGTACAGGTACATCATGATTCAGGACTGTATTTATACCTGATGCTAATTAGCATATCATGCTAATTAGTTTACATGTCATTGCTGAGGTATGTTGAGGTAAATATTATCATTTGAATGGATTACCCTTATTTTCAACTCCACCAGTTTACATATCCCTACATCCTTTGGCTGTCACTAGATATATATATTCACTGACAAATAATACAAGATATGTTAAAGTTTATCAGCTTTAAGTATTATGTCAGTGAGATAATCAACATGTCCTTCTTACATCCTGATTTCTATCTTAGATTTTCCTGTTGTCTCCACATTTCTGTTTACATTAAATGATAATGACACCTCACCCCAACCACCACATCTCAACCACCACCCCTCAACTTCCATCACACATATATACCCCTACCCCTAGCCACCACACCCCACCCACCACCACCCTCCCAACCTCCAACACACATATATACCCCTACCCCTAGCCACCACACCTCACCCCAACTACCACCCCTCAACCTCCAACACACATATATACCCCTACCCCTAGCCACCACACCTCACCCCAACTACCACCCCTCAACCTCCAACACACATATATAATCCTACCCCTCAACCTCCAACACACATATATACCCCTACCCCCAGCCACCACACCCCACCCACCACCACCCTCCCAACTTCCAACACACATATATACCCCTACCCCGAGCCACCACACCTCACCCCAACTACCACCCCTCAACCTCCAACACACATATATACCCCTACCCCCAGCCACCACACCTCACCCCAACTACCACACCTCAACCTCCAACACACAAATATATACCCCTACCCCCAGCCACCACACCCCACCCACCACCACCCTCCCAACTTCCAACACACATATATACCCCAACCCCCAACCACCACCCCTCAATCACCACCTCCCAACTTCCAACACTCATATAACCTCACCCTCCTCCAACCTACAACACATATAAATGCCCCTACCCCCACCCCCCTCAAATATTCTTTATGACCCCCACCCCCATCCACCACCACACATAAATCCCCCACCCCCAACCACCACCACCACCACCACCACCACCTTATACCCCATCCCCAACCTGG